GTCCACAGTGACCAGAGTTGCAATGCACCCCCACCCGTCGGACTTCCTTCCATTCCTCCCACGTGGCATGCATTTTGAAAGGTCCTTGTTTAAAGACGTAATCCAGACCAGTTGCCTCGACCCTAAGTTGCCTCGACCCTTGCCTAGGAGTGATGTAAACAAGTTCACAGTGTTCTGAGAAGGAAGCAAGGTCAGAAGAATGACCTGCCGAAGCCAGCAAGGCTGCATCTCCTCCCCATCCTTCTCTGGGCTACTCTTTGCTTTTGCTCCTCTCCCGCCTGGGATGTAGATTCTCTCCTAGAGGAAGAGCAAGCTCCTGCCCCAAGGACTGGCTCTCCCCTGACACTGGGGAAACACATGTGCTACCTGCCTTGATGGAACCTACTGAACTGAGCAGCCCTGTTGCAGTTTCCTCTACTAGCTGCTTGCGTAGATGCGGTCAGGCCTGAGAAAGGTGAGCACCCAGCCACTGCCTCACCTTGCCCACCATAGGAGCCTGCTCAGACTCTGAGCATTAGGCTCATTGTCCAAAGGAGTCATAGTACCTGCCTTGGCAATAGATCGTCTAAACTTTAAAGAGTCTATACGTGTAAGTGCCTTGCATGTATTAGGTACAGAGGTGACATCTGACATTTGGTACTTTTTCATTTTCAAGGCCTGAACTTGAACCCAGGTCTCTGTGTCTCAGGACACTGCTTTGCTCTCTGACTTGGGCTGGTTTCTGTGGTTGTCTGTCTGCAGCATGTGCTGAACCAAATGTGACAAGCAGACTCAGGCCCTCCCCACTAAAATTTCAGCCTCTGAAGGATTAGAGCATGAAGTGTTGGTTAGGACAGGTAGGGACAGCTGGTATTTGGCAGCATGTGGAATAGTCTTTTAATTTTATTCTCAAATTCATCAAGTATCGGCATAGATTCTGTTGCGCTCATCTGAGGTAGGAAAGGAGAAAGCTCAACTCCGGATCAGGGGAGGGGCAGTGTCAGTGGATAGAGTGAGGCCTTAACCATTTTCTGAGGCTTCCAGAAAGAAGGGTTAGGATACTTTGAACGTGCGAACCCCTGGAGGCAGGAAGAGGTGAAGGAGAAAGTCAGAATCTAAAATTGTGACCTGGAAGGGGATAGGAGTGGAAAAGGGCCTGAGATTTGGCCTGGCATAAAAAGTTGAGGTGGTGAGCTCTGCACCCTGCAAAGGCTGAGCCAGGAGAAGTCCCTGAAATCATATTTACCTCCCACCCTTACTGAGAGATGTCTGATATGCCCACCCCCATCACCATGGGAGACGCCTCGATGCTGTCATTTACGAAGCCCATACTCTCTCGAGCTCTCACTTGACTGCCACTAAACCCTGGCGAGGTAGGCAGAGTATCAGCCCTTGTTCCTTTCTTAGTGAGTGCACTGAAGCTCCCTCTGGGTCAACAGCAGGACTGTCCCTATCGTTGTTGGACTGCATATCTGCTCTGTGCCAGGTACTTGTCTAGGTGCTCAAGGTACAGCAGCAAACAAGTGTTGTTCTCTTGATGCAAAGTGACATGAGCCACATGCCCATGCGCTCTTGGAGGTAAGAAGGAAGGTGATCGTCCTGAAATGATCACCATAATGACATATAGTAAATCATGAAATGTCAATGTACAATATCTCTCTCCCTTGGTGGAAAAAGGAGGAGACATGCCTCATAATATAGGATGGACAGGATGAAGTTTAATAAATTTCATTCCATTAGAGACGAGACAAAAGTGAGCTGTCACACAGTTGGTGAAGCACAATCCATGGGGCAGGGAGCACATTGTGGCAAAGGCTTCAGAAAGACTGGGGCCAAGCAGGCAGGTGAGGAACGGCAAACAGACCGGGATGTAGAGAGAGGGAGTGTGACCCAAGAGATGGTTGAGAGTCCCTGGGTGGTCACCGTGCAGTCATGGCCAAGCCCTAGGCCTCTACCTGGATGAACTGAGTCAACATTGAAAGTTTGGGGCAGAGGAACCTGGGCAAAACCTGGACCCTCTGATTCCAAGATCCACACTTGTTCCACTGGACCTTCCCTCATCACACAGAGAGCTTGCTTTTCTTCGATTATTTCCACAGTTGTAATTCTTTGCATAGCTGTTCTGCTGCTAAAAGAGTGAAACTGGGGGTGAGGAATCTGGCCTGCACTGGGTGAGAATAGGGTAGAGGAAGCTGTGGAGAGGACTCACCCTGCCTGTGATTTGAGACCTCCGCCTTCCTCCTCCCTTCCTCTACCCCTTGGATTTCACTTTTTCACCTCCATCCCATCTCGACAGCTAGCAAGTCTTGTGGGCCAGCTCCACCTGCCACCTTAGATTAGAAAAAGCGAAAGGACGAAAGAGATTTGTTTGTAATCAGCTCCATTCCAGATTAGCACATGTAGATTCTTCCTGTTTTGGTAGAACATTAGGCGCAGAAAAGTATGTATCATATAGATAATAACAGAATGTGGGTGAGCACATAAAAAAAGGAGAGACGGGTATTACAGAATCCCAGAATGGTAAAACTGGCAGAGACTTTAAGATTGCCTTGTCCAGATGTTTACACAACAGTGTAAATGTACTTAATGCCAATGAAGTGTACTTAAAAATGATTTAAGATGGTACATTGTATGTTGTGTCTATTTTACCACATAAATTAAAAAAAAAAATTTCCTTGTCCAGTGCTTCCGTTTAGGGCTGAAAAACAGAGAGATTGAGTGACTCAGCCATAGCCACACAGCAGGTGAGAGATGGAGCCTAGCCTGGAAATTGCCTTCCTAGCTCTTAGCCCAGTGCCTGTTCCCATGAGCATGGCTACTGTTTGTTCGTTGGTGGAAGTTAATGCAGGAAGTAGTCACTCCTTGAGGTTTGTACTCCTGTAATCCGAATATGCTGTCTTAGAATCAACCCAGGTTTTCACCGAACCTTTTGCTAGAGAGCTCCCAGCAGCAATCTTTTGGTTAATTTCAACCTTGCCCCCCTTCTGTGACTCTTGGTGGCTGTGGTGATCATGCTGAAAGGCTAAGACCTTCAGGCAGACGGAGGAAGAGAAAGAGCAGGAGACAGACTTGAGTCACAAGCTTTGTGTGTACACTTTTGAGATGAAGGGAAATAGGAGACGTGAGTGAGACAGCGCTTGTAGACGTTGTGTTAATCCTAACTCCAACTCCTCTCTATCCCTGCTCACCTCTCTGCAAGCCTCCATGGGTGTGATGATGGGATAGATCAACTGAGTTTAGGAGACCCAAGAAATACCTACAGTTCTGTGAGGCAGTGCCCTAGTCAGGAGAGTCGGAGGAAGATTTCAGTTTCAAGCACTGGAAGGTAGCAATTCCTAACTTCCCACTCAAAGAACATTAGGGCAGGAAAACAGGAATTCTTAAGAGGCCCACCCCTGGGCTAAGGAGATGAGGCTGGCCTAGGAGCTTGGGGAAGCTCTCAGTGACTTTCATCTGTAGCCTTGACCAAGTCACTGTACATCCCAGCCCTCACAGTAGATTAGGTATAGCTAATGGTAAGAATTCCACTCATTTCCAGAAGTATTTCCTGAGCGCTGTATTTCATACACAACGATGACATCAGGTCTTACTGTGTAGGGATACATGCCGGGTTCCAGGGAGTTTAAAGCAGGATTTCTTTACCTCTTTTCTTGAGCATACTCTGGAGAATCCTACTTTCCCGCCAGCATCCACGATGGACCTTAAATGGCAGGGGAAGTCTGGGGGTAGGATGGATAGCTAGAGAAGGGTCTTGGGCTCATGCTTCTGTTCACACACACCCCTCACACACAGACACATGGGAAATTGGAATCACAGATGTGTGGCACAGGCAGAAGGTGTGGATGACCTTAGTCAGATGTTAGAACCTGGTCAAGGACCAGGCTCCTAGAGCGTGAAGGGCAGGATAGAAGACAGAGGCAGCAGGAAATCTGGGAAAGAAGATGGTTATTTGTTTGCTTGTTTTTTTAAGACAGAGTCTTACTCTGTCACCCAGGCTGGAAGGCAATAGTGCTATCTCAGCTCACTGCAACCTCTGGCTCCTGGATTCAAGTGATTCTCCTGCCTCGGCCTCCCAAGTAGCTGGGATTACAGGTGTGCACGACCACACCCAGCAGGTTTTTGTATTTTTAGTAGAGACGAGGTTTCACCATGTTGGCCAGATCTTGAACTCCTGGCCTCAGGTGATCCTCCAGCCTTGGCCTCCCAAAGTGCCGGGATTACAAGTTAGAGCCACTGTGCCCAGATAGGGAAAGAAGCTGGTCTTGATATGAGGGTGTCAGACTCAGAAGGACCAGATGATAAGAGTCCACTCCTGCCTGAACTTCCCGTGCTTCCTGCCTGGTCTTAAAGAGAGGCAGCTGGTATAGCAGAAGGAGAAGCAGTGTCAACTTAGGAAGATGTGGGATCAAGCCTTCTCCATTTCCCAGCTAACAGGTTTGGGGACGTTACTCAAATTCTCTGAGTCTCGATATTCTAATCTGTAAAATGAGATATTAATATCCTGCATGTCTAATACAAAGGGCTGTAGTGAGGCCAATTGCGAGTAATGTGAAAGGTCTTTGTGGACTGCGTTCTGTCATGTTAGAAGTCTGCCGAAAGCTGTAGAAATAGCAGTGGGTTTCCCGGTTGGTTAGGTCTCAGTTTGGATTCTGTAGTATCCTATCATTAGGCAAATGTGACTTTGAGAAAGTTACTTAGTCTCCTGTTCCCTTTTCATAGGGCTGATAATAATTGATTTATGGTTTGCTAAGTTGCCCAAGGTTTGAGCTCCCCAGTGGATTTTCAGCTGGACAAAAAGACCTTTTCAGTCTTGTTCACCCATGTGGGTGTCCTCAGCCCTGGAACAGTGGCTGGCAGCTAGGAGGTGCTCATTAGTGATGTTTGGCCGGTCAGATGAATGCATGAATGAATGAATGTGAATGAGGAGCCTTTGGAAACACTCTAGTGGGGTATGTTATGATGCTGGTGGTAATGGGTCTCCGAGCGCCCTCAGGAGCTTATGTTCTCCTCCTTTCTTGCAGGACTCGGGTCAAGCTGGAAAGCCTGGAAGATGCCTACATTCTGCGGGGGGATGACGATTCCCTCTCTGACAAGCATGGCTGCCCCGCTTACGTAAGCCCAGAGATCTTGAACACCAGTGGCAGCTACTCGGGCAAAGCAGCCGACGTGTGGAGCCTGGGGGTGATGCTGTACACCATGTTGGTGGGGCGGTACCCTTTCCATGACATTGAACCCAGCTCCCTCTTCAGCAAGATTCGGCGTGGCCAGTTCAACATTCCAGAGACTCTGTCGCCCAAGGCCAAGTGCCTCATCCGAAGCATTCTGCGGCGGGAGCCCTCAGAGCGGCTGACCTCGCAGGAAATTCTGGACCATCCTTGGTTTTCTACAGATTTTAGCGTCTTGAATTCAGGATATGGTGCTAAGGAAGTGTCTGACCAGCTGGTGCCAGATGTCAACATGGAAGAGAACTTGGACCCTTTCTTTAACTGAGCTCATGCCCCCCAGAAACTTAGCAGGTACCAGGAGTGAGCGAGGGCAGTGGAAAGGAGTTCTTCCAGGGGACACAAATCGCCTGGCTGGGTAGCAAGAAAGACATTCATACTTTTTTCAGTTTCTTGGTTCAGAGAAGGAAAACCTTCAAGGAGCTGACCGACCATGTAGCATGGGGGCAAGAGGTGTGGGATGGGGGTTGGGGTCAGATGGATGGGAGCCCCCCCTGGAGCTTGTCTTCCCTAATGTCGCCTGGGAGACCACCCCTTGCCACTTAGGCCACTTCCGCCTACCCCACTTTTCATTTTGTTCCAAAATAGTTGCAGATCCTGACAAAATCAAAACTCTCTGCCTCAGACACACACCCTGGCATCGCACTGTTAGCATTTAACTTCTTGTTAGGATTCAGGGAAGGAGCAGTTGGCCAAGAATTTTTTTTTTTTTTTTCTTTTAAACAAGCCAACCACCTAGCTGGTAATTAATGAGGTTCACTTACAAAAAAAAAAAAAAAAATTCGGTGCACACAGACTGACATGAAACCTGGGTGCTACACTAAAAGAAAACAAAAGTCTAGTTTGTGTCTCTTAATCGCTCTCTTCAACTCATTTCTTCTAAATAAACTATTTAATATCCTGGTCAGGAAATGACATGTTAATGCTTTGCTCCCTGAAGGGGAAAAAATCTGTCCTTTAACAAGCTATTCTGTTTTGTGTCAGTTGGTTCATGGGCAGGAAGCTATTGGAAGTTGAACGTCCAGATGCATTTCTGCTATCTTAGTCTAAAGGGGGAAAGAAAAGGGAAGAAGAAAGGAAAAGAGAAATCCGACTCCTTTTTCATGTTTTGCTTTTGAACGATGAGGGTTTGTGTGACAGGCATTCCTCTTTGCTGAGATGACAGCAACGGCCTGAGATTTTAGCAAGCTCCTGGAGTCTGACGCTTTTGCAGCATTCTGATCACAATTAAACATTTGTCTTTGTTTTATTAGAAACTAGTGAAACAAAGCAGGTTGTCCTACATGTATAAAATACAGGGCAGCTATTTAGTTTTCTTTACGAAGAATGATCCTTTTGGCTTGTAAGGCCCTCTGGTTTGGACAAAAACCCTCAGTAGAGACAAGCGGGAAGGATAATTAGCTGAAAGCTATGATGATATAAATAAAAACAGCTCTCTATCCCAATACGCACCTTTGTATTTTCAAGAACTCTTCTATTTATTAAGGAAAATGTCACATTGTGATGTATTAAGCCAGTACTTCAATTACGGGTTGACTTGGGATGACATATTACATGCTGTAGTTAACATTTATAATTTTTTTTTCCTTGTTTGAGTATTTCTGTCTCTGAAATAACCTTTTACTTGGCTTTTCTAGATAGCTTTATTTGATTTTGAGTGGCAAAATGTTTTTTATTACGGCTTTTCTATTGCTGTATGATACAGAACTCTTTTGGCATAAATATTTGTGTTCCCAGTACCTCACTTGTTTGGATTTGACTGCCTGTATATGTTTTGTGAAATGGTCCTGTTTTTGGGTAGGTGACACGTGGACTCTAGTATGTAAATGTTACTTGAATCTGTGCTTCATTATAGTGTGTGGCATGTATGTGCAGACTCTTGGATGCTTTATGCCTGCGCAGCGGGAGCCTGTCCTCACGTTCTCAGGAGGGCAGCTTCACCCTTCGTAACCAGAAGACAAGGCAGCCATGGATTTGCCCTTGATTCTATTTTGCTAATGGAAGATATAAAGGAGAGAAGTTTTTTTGTT